ACCGGAACCGGAACCGGGACCGGGGCTGGGACTGGGACTGAGACTGAGACTGGGACTGGGACTCGGACCAGGACTGGGACTGGAGCCCAGACCCAAGGCGACAAGTGGCCCCGGGTCAGCCAGGCCTGGAGATGCGCTTCGTCGTCGCATTACGGGCGGCCCTAAAGAGCCCCGAGGGTGGGTGTCGGAAAAGCCGAGGCTAGCCGATGACGACGACGACGACGACGACGACGACAAAGAGGAAGATGAAGAAGAAGAAGATGATGATGATGATGAGGAAGAGGAGAAGGAGGAGGAGGGTGGAAGATTTGATAAAGAGAGGATGGAAGATGAGCAGGGGGCGCATGAGGAGCATGAAGGGGGAGGAGAAGAGGAGCAGGTGGTTGGGAAGAGGAGTGCGGAGGGGGGAAGAGAAGGGGGTGGAGGGCTGATGGAGGAGGATGAGGGTGGGAAGAGTCTCGGTGCGTGGCCACGAGAGGAGGATTTGGCTGAACCAGTCGTCCGGCCGCCACAGCCAGAGACAGTCGGACAGAGCGTCGGGCTGTGATTGACCAACTTGAGCTGTCGGTCGTTGAGCACCGCGTTGCTGGCTTCGGCCTGGCTGGAGCGCAGGCTGGCGAGTGCAGACTGGCCTCCATCGAACAGACGACAGGGCGTCTCGACGAAGGTGTTGTTGTTGTTGTTAATGATGTTGTCGATGCTGTTGGTTGCTGTAGTGGTGGCGGTGGTGGTGGTAATGTTCGCGTTGTTGCCGGGGCTTCTCCAGACGACAGGGAGGGCCGACTCGGAGGAGCGTCGATCCACGTCAGCGAGTGGTCGTGGTGGCGAGCAACGAGGAGTGGGTGAGCCTGGCGACCGCGACGATTTCGGCGACCGTGGCGACTGTGGCGACCGGCCGGCCTGCTCGTGACATGAGCATCGGCAATGCGGCGAGCGTGGCCGTGAAGCGTCGAGAGGAGGCCACTTGTTGTCGGGGCCACCGACTGACAAGCCGAGTTGACTCACGCCTGTTGTCGCGTCGAGGGGAGCGCGAGTTGG